TCCATAGGATTTGCCAGCAGTATGGTATTAAGCTAGTTGCGGAATGGGTGCCGCGTGAAGAAAATGAACTTGCGGATTATTATTCAAAAATTGTTGACGCCGATGATTGGAGTGTTAATCCTGTTGTTTTTGAGTGGTTGGATGAAGAGTGGGGCCCACATACCCTAGACTGTTTTGCTAGTGTGAGCACAAGGAAAACTGATCGATATTGTTCACGATGGTGGAACCCAGGCTGTGTTGCGGTAGATGCATTCACGTTTCCATGGGAGGGAGAGAATGTTTGGCTTACCCCACCTCTGTACCTGGTTGGCAAAGTTATCAAAATGGTAGAGTTCTATGAGCGTCATGCCACTCTAATCGCACCTAAGTGGGTGTCTGCTGCATGGTGGCCATTGTTATTCCGGGGCACTTCTTGGTGCTCATTTGTCAAAGAATGCATTGACATCCCTTTAAGAGACGATACATTCCTGCAGGGTACATGCCCGTGGAATTTGGTTAGGAAGGGGACACCAAAGTGCAAAGTGCTAGCCATACGTTTGTGCACAGTTGCATGGTGCAAATGCTGAGGCCACAGTATGCCCATTTTGTGTTGGTGTTGATGCAGATGTGCACAGGCCCGGATGCCTAAAGTGCACATGTTCTGGAGCCCCCCGCTGCTAGCGGCCAGCTCACTCAACCATGGAGCACCTGTGCACCTTGGAATGATGATGACGTTGATGATAGTGGTGCTGACGGCAAAGATGATGATGCTGAGAAGAAGACGATACTTGATAGCGGCAACAACAACAGCCGTGAGATGCTGATACGATGTACACCAATTTGTCAAAGATTGGGCTGTATTTGAATTCTCGCCCTGAAAGTGTCTTGTCTCGCTATGACACATCACCTGCAGATTGCCTTCAACACCTCCAGTGGCCAACACACCTGTCATCGGAGATGCCGCTGTTGGCTCAACAGTTACCAACCGTGTTAAAAGGTGCCAGGGCAAAGTCAATCGTCAAGAAGTACAAGGCAAGTTTCACGCAGTAGCAGAGGTGGGCCAAAGGTCAAGGTATTTCGGCTCTCCCGGCAGACCCGCTGCATGTAGCATTGTGCCTAGTCAAGAAGATTGCCACTTCCAGTACACCAGCGCCGGTCTCTGCAGCGGTCCATGGAATCAGTTGGAAACATAACACCTATAGTCATCATGATCCATGCTAAGTACCCATGGTGCAAAGGCTACATCAAGCAGCAAAGAGATTTCTCGCCACACAGCGCAGGAGGAAAGCCCCGCTGACACCGAAACTGCTGAAGAAGCTGAAGGTCTCACTGTCTACTGGAAAGTTGCAGGATCTCCAAACCCTGACACTCTTTACGTTAGGGTTTGCTGGTTTCCTCCGCTGGGACGATCTTGCTCATGTCCGACTAGATGCCCTGTCCATTCATCGAGACTACATGGCTGTTTTCCTGGGATGCAGAAAGAACGACCAGTTCCGGGAAGGTAGCTGGGTGTTCATCAGCCGTTGGGAACAAGACCTCTGTCCAGTACAACTAGTTGAACAATTTCTCGCCAGCGGTGACCACTAGCCAAACTCAACATTGTCTGAACCTACCATGGTCGACAGGTTATTCGGTCCCAGATGTCATACTCCAGAGCGAGGGAGTTAGTACGGGCGGCATTGGCGGCAGTTGGAGAGGATCCTGACAAGTATGGTGTACATAGCCTCCGTTCTGGGAGGGGGGGGTGTCCGTGGCAGCTGCAGCAGGTATCCCAGACCGTCTAATTCAACGCCATGGAGATGGAGGAGTGAGTCTGGTATGAAGTCGTATTTCTCGGAGTCCTGCCTAACCTCCTAAGAGTCTCTAGTGACATTGGGCAGGTGGTTGCGTGAACAGCAGACATGTGGTCATAATGTATATATGTATATCTTTCCTAGTCGTAATGTATATACAGTTGAACATCGATTATCCGACCACCTCTGGGCAGACAACTGTCAGGCGGTGTTCAGATAAGGCAAATGTTCCGGATAAGAAAAAAACTGTCACTCACACACTTTCAGTGGTTATTACTAGCCGCACGACCTTTTTACTTTTTACTTTTCAAAATTGTCGTATTTTTTGAATGGCTCACTACATGCACAGTGCGTACTCTACGGCACGTGCGCCCAAAAAAACTGTTACGGATAATCGAATGGTCGGATAGTCGATGTGCGGATAATCGATGTTCAACTGTATGTATATCTTTCCTAGTCTCCTGGCGTCCATGCTGATTCGTCTCTTAATGTTCTTATTCTTGCTCGGCTTGCAATGTGGCTGTCCGCAGCCGACCCTGCACTGTGGTTTTGCTGTTGCAAATGTGAGGTATGAGAGAGAAGTGTACGCTTCTCGTTGGCTGAGAATTCGAAAGAAACGAGAAGCAATGTTCTCTCGAACTTCGAATATTTGCGAAGCTTGTATTATTTTTTGTTGTGGCACGCAGTGCAGGTAGACTTCACTGTAGCGACGTAATCGTTGTTGAGCGAGTGCTGTGAAACAGCGCTTGCACAAAAAGATTGTCCTTCTTTTTGTCTTGCTCATCAATGGCCCGCCCACCCGCCCTCTGTATATATATATAATTGCTCTGATTGTGAATGCGGTGGTTTCCTTGCTGTATCTTTCTGCACTGCTGATTTTATAAGTTCTAGTTGCTTATTATTTTATTTCTTTTATCTGGGTGGTCATTCTGCACTAACTGTTGCTGTATCATTTTGCCTCGAATTCTGGCAACTCTGTTTTCCCCTTGAAACAAGGCAATGTGGCTGTCTGCAGCCGGCCCTGCACTGTGGTTTTGCTGTTGCAAATGTGAGGTGTGAGAGAGAACACAGATCTGCCACGGGAAAAAAACTGAGAAAACATCATCTCTGTACAACTCACATGATGAGAAGGGAACGAAAAAGTTGGGTTAATAAATTGGCTTACTTGACTGTGTGGATTTTTTCCTAACGCTTTTTTTTTCCTCTGATATTCTGTGTTTAAAGATCGCGTATGCCACGTGCCAAATTTTGCTCATGGTAGCAAGACGCCCGACTATTATTTAATCATGCATGGGTTGTCTATGAAATACAAATGTGATGTTGGATATAAGATGAACGGACCTGCTTTAGTTAACTGTACTGACAATGGTTTAAGTGCCAAGACTACCTGTCAAGGTAAGTGGAATGTACTCACTCTTATCAGGTCACGTTTCTGTTGGGTTTTCTAGTTTCAAACATACTTCTTGAGTAACAAATTCACAATATGCAAAGTTAAACACAGTCCACAGTACACTGTTTGCATGTGTATATAGGTGTGTGTATGTGTCATGACCCGGATCAGACTCGTCGTGACAGCGACCATGCATTGAGTTCAGCAGCCAAAAGCTGGGCTTCGAAATATTCTAGAGTTCAGTAAGAACCATGATTAGTCCTGCGAAGGATTTGGCACTTTCGTTAGTTGAGCAATCATGGCTTACAACTCGTGGCCTAGAGTCGCAAAGTGTTGTCGTACGTCGGCAACACCTTCAGTACAAATCGTCAGCATTGTACTCACTACACTGTTGAGCTTGAGGGGGCCACGCTTAGGCTGTGTTTACATGAAGCATTTCAACCCGGGTTGAGTTCGACCCGGGTCAGATTTCAACCCGCCATGTGCACAAAGTGAATGGCGCGTTTACATGACGCATTGCGCTTGACCCGGGTTGAAATTTCGCCCCGGGTTGATTTCAACCCTCCCCCCAAGGGGAGGGTTGAAATTAACCCGGGTCAGGAAAATCGTAGAAACGTACTTCTGTGCGTATCTCGCGCCACGTTTGAACGGCACTGCAGATGCACATTTCGCGCGAACAGATTCACGTGACCATACAGAACTGTAGAAGTGGACTTTTGGCGGCATATCAGTATTTGACCCGGGTCAACTGTCTTCATGTAAACGCTCACCTCTTTTGTCTATCGTACAGACTTTCAACCCGGGCTGAACTCGACCCGGGTTGAAATTTCTCATGTAAACACAGCCTTAGTCCTGCAAGGGAGCTGATGTATATAATAACACATGGTACGGAGGGCATTATGGCTGATTTATGCCCTGGTGCGTAGCCCGAGGTCGTGCACCGTAGCCCAAGGGCCGCAGGCCCGCGGGCTACGGTGCACGACCGAGGGCTACGCACTAGGGCATACAATCAGCCATAATGCACGACGCACCATGTGTTTATTATAGTTCATACATGCCACGTGCCTAGTTGTAGACAAATAAGGTAAACATGGTCAAAGGAGGAGGAAGGTTCCAATCAGCTGTCATATGAATGAAGGGTCGAACAAGATCGGAAGGAGCTTTCTCCGTGGAATAATAGAACGTTTTGTGTCAGATTTACTTGCAGTTCCAGGAATATGCCTTTGCATTTTGGTGTTAGTGTTGCCTATTGGGCGGTAGGGAAGTTAGCTGATTCGCTGCTGCTTTGGAGTTGACGTTGGACGCAAACATCCTTGACCAAGTGGCACTAGTAATTAGACTACTAGTCGTTTTGAGAGTACATTGTAAGTGATCTTATTCGGAACAATGATACTTTTTCACATACATCTGAGATTTTGTTCGCATTGCTTTCAGTTTACTTGAGGTCCATATGTACACTGGATATGCAGCTAGGTACATTTGAAGTACATGTAGATGTAACTGTATATTTTGTAGGAGTTCGAGATACAATCTGATCTATTCCAGATGGGTAACTTTGTGATGCATGTTCACCTGTCGACTTGTTCGTCTCAATTGACTTGAATTTAGTAATGCATGGTGATGACATGCTGTGTCCTATTGTCACGTTGTTATAAATTACTTCTCCTATGTCGACATTGCTAGTAAAATATAATTGTTTTGGACGGTGCACGTAAGTAGTTTCGTTTTGTGTGCATGTGGTGTGTGCGAGTGCATGTGGTGTCCTCAGGGATGGTCCCATGTGTTCTACGTGCGCTGGAGTACTGCCCATTATGTACCAGGTCGCTGCCGTAAAAGGCATGGCTTGTTGCATATTTGGCAGTGCACCAGCGTACGTAGTACGCCTGGGGTCATTCCTAATGGGCATGGGTACGCCGTACCCGGGCATTAGCGTCTGATAATGCCCTGACGTTTAGCTCACGCCTTGCTACTAAGGGGGTGATTATATGTGCAGCTCCAGCCCGGGCTGGTCGACAGGCGGGCCAGCCCGCCTGCAACGGGATCTCGGGGTTGTACACAAATCCACACAAAACCTGTGGTGCGTTTACATGGCAAGCGGGCTGGCCCGGCGAGGCGGGATCCCGCCTCGATGCACCCGGGATCCCGGCTAGGCGGGCCAGAAAAAGCACATATAAACAGACCAGCCCGGGCCAGAGTTGTATTATTATGGTATCGACACTGCGTTCATACTTCAAAATAGGTACTTTTACCTCTTGAGGGAAGTTATAAAGAGGATTCCCGATTATTGTCTTGAAAATCTAGGAAGCTTTTTGTACAGCAACAAGAAGGACGTGCAATGAGCACTGTTTATTTGTCGACATGCATGATTTACATTAAAATGGAAGGGGAACTACTTGCAAAATACTTTGATATGGACAGCTAAAAATGTGAAAAACAGGAAAAAGAAACGAGGTGATACAACACACCAAACATGTGTCACAGCGCGAAAAGAAATCAGCAGAAGAATACATTGTGTGAGAAAAAAAGGTTTTTATGTTTATAACCTGAGTATGGCTTGCAGCCCTGCGTCTCAGCCCGGGGCAGCGCATTACGGTCGTAGTGTGTTTGCTGCATACTCACAACGGGCTGGCGTGTGCTCAGCGCATATAAACTCACTGCGGGCTGGCGACCAGCCCGGCCTTGCACATGTAAACACCCTTGGCGGGCTGGACAGTCCATTTTTTCTTCAGACTTTTCCCGTTTGTTTCTTTCCCTCAAACCAGTATATACCGTATATATATATATTTATCGCCTTCTTAGTATTTGACCCCACTAATTTCCCTGATACCTAAGCGGTCAAATATATCGCGTATTTGACTGCTTAGTCAAATACACAATATATTTGACTCCTTAGAACTTCTTGGACTTAGAAATTTCTCTCCAACTTAGAAAAAGAAATTTTTGAAGAAAGCAGAAATACACAAGATGGGATTCGAACCCACAACCATGTGAATCTCAGTCACTCTTCCTTACCACCCAGCCACTGTGCTACCGATGCTGAACTTAGTTTAAACAATGACCTTGATCCTGCAATGCCGTACAATGCGGTATAGGCTATAGTATAATAATTAGAATTACAAGGATATGTCGTATATGAAGAGAAACTATTGCGTGGCGAACACGATAAATAGATTATAGACCTCATAGTTGGTCTATACAGGATATATAGACCTCGTAAAAGACCTCGGGGGACCTCGGTCTTTTACTCGGTCTATATATCCCGTATAGACCTCCTAACCGGTCTATAATCTATACATATATATACCCAATGCTGTATATATATATATATACTCAATCTGCGGACAGCATGCTGTTTCGTTCTTTTTGAACTCATCAGCGCAGCACAGAGAAAATGAGGCCGAACCTGATAGCAATGGAAATAAAAATTTCCAATCAGGCCCGAACGTACCTTGCCAGAGTGCTCCTATATATATATAACGAAGTGCTAATTCTAAATAGTTACCAAGGAGAAATCTCATGACTTGTTATGCTTTTTCCCCTCAAGAAAACCAGTCTGAACGTCATTTTAACTGTACAGGAACGACGGCGTCAAAATTCCAATACGTTCTAAAATTGTTTTCTTCTAATAAATTCACTCTATGACTGTACGCTGAAGACACAAATGACGTCATTACCACACCTCACGCCCAGCAGCCGACTGCGGGCAAGGTGGAGATGGAGTAGATCAGGCTAACTGATATCCGTGGACCTAGGGTGTCGGCCGTCTGATACAGTAAAGATGATCTTGAGCCTTTGAAGCATTTTTGTGATTTCTGCAGATATTGATGAATGCAGTGACAGTAGCCACGACTGCAGTGCCAATGCAGCATGCACAGACACGCAAGGTTCCTATACATGCCAGTGCAATGGTGGTTACACTGGATATGGCAGGAATTGTTATGATGTTGACGAATGTCTGAGTGAAAGTCATACCTGCCATGGCGACGCCACCTGTAATAATGTGGAAGCTAGCTTCCAATGCACATGTAACTCTGGTTACTATGGTGATGGCAAATATTGTACAGGTAAGCTGGTTACGGACTACGGTGTCCATGGCGATCAGAAGTCTCCCTATCCGGCTTTGCGCCCTACTAAGAGCGTAACAAGATGAAAGTTTGATTTGTTGACGCTCGTCTTCATTTGGTCCGTTAACGCATGTCAATGGTACCTCGAAGTAGATTCTAACTTTGAACAGATGCTTGCGGACTGCTGTACATACAGTTCACCACAGACACACTCCACGACAGCTAGTAGTTGCTGATGGATACCGTCACAGTGTAAAAGCCATATATATATACGCGTGCTAGTTTGTACGTGAAGTGCGTGGGTTACAGTGAGGGCTGCGTCCCAGCCGCCTGTACAGGAAGTGTGAGTTACGAAGTCTGAAGAAAATGTTGAATGGCCTCTGCTGGGATGACAACTACACCATAGCTCAGTGGTTAGAGCATCGCTGGCTACAAACGAAGGTCCCTGGTTCGAGTCCTGGTGGTGACAGTCAATTTTTTCTTCAGACTTTTCCCGTTTGTTTCTTTCCCTCAAACCAGTTAATATATACGGTATATATATATATAACGAAGTGCTAATTCTAACGAGTTACCAAGGAGAAATCTCATGACTTGTTACGGTTTTTCCCCTCAAGAAAACCAGTCTGAACGGCATCTTAACTGTACAGGAAGGACAGCGTCAAAATTCCAATACGTTCTAAAATTGTTTTCTTCTAATGACTTCACTCTATGACTGTACGCTGAAGACATAAATGACGTCAATACCACACCTCACACCCAGCAGCCGACTGCGGGCAAGGTGGAGATGGAGTAGGTCAGGCTTACTGATATCCGTGGACCTAGGGTGTCGGCCGTCTGATACAGTAAAGATGATCTTGAGCCTTTGAAGCATTTTTGTGATTTCTGCAGATATTGATGAATGCAGTGACAGTAGCCATGACTGCGGTGCCAATGCAGCATGCACAGACACGCAAGGTTCCTATACATGCCAGTGCAATGGTGGTTACACTGGAAATGGCAGGAATTGTCAGGATGTTGACGAATGTCTGAGTGAAAGTCATACCTGCCATGGCAACGCCACCTGTAATAATGTGGAAGCTAGCTTCCAATGCACATGTAACTCTGGTTACTATGGTGATGGAAAACATTGTACAGGTAAGCTGGTTACGGACTACGGTGTTCATGGCGATCAGAAGTCTCCCTATCCGGCTTTGCGCCCTACTAAGAGCGTAACAAGATGAAAGTTTGATTTGTTGACGCTCGTCTTCATTTGGTCCGTTAACGCATGTCAATGGTACCTCAAAGTAGATTTTAACTTTGAACAGATGCTTGCGGACTGCTGTACATACAGTTCACCACAGACACACTCCACGACAGCTAGTAGTTGCTGATGAATACCGTCACAGTGTAAAAGCCATATATATATATATATACACTCAGACACAAAGGATCTCCAAGTTTCTCAGTGTTGCTACTCTGAGTTTCGTGCAAAAGCACTCTTCAGGCAAAGTGCTTTCGCACGAAACTCAGAGTAGCAACACTGAGAAACTTGGAGATCCTTTGTGTCTGAGTGTATAACCCCGCTCTGTCTTAGGACATTGAGCACTTTTTTGCCGACGCAAGAAATACTTCTATTGTTCTATATATTACTCATAAAAAGGACACACTTCAGGCTCATTACAAACATCTTGAAAGTTTTTGTCTTCACAAGTATACTTTCAAGCCTTCTCATCAGGTGAAATACAGGCAAGGGAAAAGGAACAGGAACAGTGGATTAAATACAGTAAGAAGGTGGTAAAACAGCGCAAAAAGAAAGAAAGAAAGAAAGAAGATAGCTAAAGTAAACAGCGAAAATTGCAATAATGACACAAAGGTGCAAATGCGAGAAAACTCAATAAGCGCGACATGTAGTGCGACAACAAGAGACAACCACTGGACATACATGTAACTAACGAGGTTTTGACGATCTACCTAACAGCCTAAGTGTGAATTTGATTTGTTTCTGCTTGCAAAGGGGGCTGTTTTGGCAAATATATTTGTTGGTTATTACGAATGTCAGATTCCGGTTAGTTTGATGCCCCCATTGTATGTGAGATTTGTCGATGATTCTTTCTCGTATTTTCAGTCTGAGGCTCAGTGCCTCCAATTTCGTGATCTGCTGAGGAAGGTTGTTGATGGTATGTTGGATTTCACGTGTGAATTTGAGGAGTCAGATCGTCTACCTTTTCTTGATGTGCTCGTTGAGAAGTCAATTGATGGTGGTGTTGTCACTTCGGTCTATCGCAAGCCTACGTTCACTGGCTTGTACATTGTTTGGGATTCGTTTTGCGCGACACTGTATAAGATCAATTTGTTGCGTAATTTGGTGGATCGTGCACGTCGCCTTTGTTCATCTTCAAGGTTGGAGCAGGAGTTGGAGAAGTTACGTGCGCTTTTTCGTCTCAATGGATACCCCGAGTCTGTTATTGTGAAGTATGTAACTGAGACCAGTCCAAAGAAGAATGCTGAAGTTTCCACTAATCCAGTATACCTATGTTTACCGTGGAAGGGCGAGTCAGTATCACGTATGGTTCAGCGTCGGGTTAAGTCTGCCGTGGAGTCCAATTACCATAATGTTCATATTCGCTTCATCTACTCCACGGTGCGTGCGTTCACGGTGAGGAAGGACGTCCTACCTACAGGCCAATTATCCAAGTTGATTTATCACTTCGAGTGTCGGCAATGTGAGAGCCGATATGTAGGTAGGACTCTTCAACATCTGGACGCACGCATCCGACAACACGCACCGCTACACCTTATTCCACAACACGCACGATCCACTCGACCACGGAGGGGACGTCCAGCAAAGAATCATCCTGGTACAAGATGGTCCAACGCAGCGGCATCAACACCAAGCAACGTCACCTCACAATTAACTAGACCACCAGAAAAACAACCGGACAAGACACCTACGTGCGTGGCAGTGACAGGAACCTTTGTTGATATGTCAAAGGCATTCGATAAAGTGAAACATCAAACTCTTGTGCAAGATCTGTTCGAACTTGGCATCAGCGACATGGCACTCTGTTGGCTGGTGGATTACCTCTCTGATAGAGAACAGTACGTTCAGGTTGGCCAGACTAGAAGTCTCCCGTACACCAGTTACTCAGGTGTCCCCCAGGGGTCGGTACTGGGCCCACTGCTATTTATTGTCTATGCCCGCGGCATAGCAGAAGAACTATCGCCGTTTAATGTGGGAGCAATCCAGTTTGCTGATGACATCTCTATACGATGTAGCAGGGAGTCTGCGGAAGCTGTTTCTGCACACCTTTCAGCTGCTGTTCAGCACCTGGCCACCTGGCTGAAGGGCCGTGGTTTAATTCTTAATGAAAGAAAGACACAGATATTGCCTATTCCCTCATCCCCATCTCAAGCACTTGAGCTGCATGTCATTTGTAATGGGCAGACGCTGCCTGTTGTGAAAACGGCCAAGTATCTTGGCCTACATTTCGACTCAGACATGAGCTGGAACACCATGACAAGCCATGTTGCACGCCGCATTGCCGCTAAGATTGGGCTACTAAATCGAAGTGCAGCATGTTTGCTTTTTTCTTGCCGTGTTCAGTTTTTCAGGTCCTTTATACTATCAGAATTTGACTATGCATCTGCTGCCTATGCCCCTTTCTTATCGTCTTATCACGATAAGCGCCTAAATAGTTTGTTCAAACGTGCGGCTCGCTCGGTGTGCAGGGCAGCCCCTCGCACTCACACGGCTCCCTTACTTGAACGCATGAATGCCCATACCCTCAGCATATACACCCACATGCACATTCTTGTATTCATTTGGCGCTGCCTGAACAAATCTTCAAGTACTCTGTTTGCAAGCTTTTTTCACCCGTAGTCCCTCTCTCCGAACACGAGGAGGGAGCAGCAAGTTACTCATCATTCCTGTCTCCCCCACTGCATCCTCAGCTAAGCGCATTAGCCATGCTGGAGCTATCCTGTGGAACCAGCTCCCAGACACAGCACGCCTCGAAAGAAAGCGCTCCACTTTCAAATCGCTAAGCCTGGCCTTTCTGTTAGGCAGTACCGTCAACTAGGATGAACTCATCTGCTTCACTACCTCTCTCTCTCTCCCTCTCTCTCTCTCTCTCTCTCTCTCTCTCCTCTCTCCTCTCTCTCGCTCACTCACTCCTTTCTTCCCGGTTGCCGTGCTTGTGACTTTTTTTCCCCTGCTGCCGTGCTCATATTAGTTATCTAACTACAGCTGTATCTTCTTCTTGGTTCTGTTTGTCCGCTTATTATTATATATTTTTCTTTTCTCTTATTATCAGTGGGACCATTGTCATTAGGTTTAGGCCTGTTTTGGAACTCCACTTTAAATAAAGCCAAACAACAACAACAACCGCATCAACCAGAAGAATGACAAGATCGGCAACGGCGGCGATGGCAGCGACTAAAGCACAGACAGAGGCAACGGCTAGGGTCCACTCGACTAGCCATGTGAAATCGGATGTGTCCACCGCACATGCTGATTGTTCTGATGTTAGTTCTGATAAGTATGAGTCGTCCATTGCTAGTCATTTGTTTGAGCATCCTGATTGTCGTGCTGTGTATTCGGATGATTGTTTTTCGATTGTGTCACGTGTACGCAGTGCTAGATTGCTGAATGTTTTGGAAGCTGTATACATCCACACAAGGAAACCCAACCTTTGCAAGCAGAAACAAATCAAATTCACACTTAGGCTGTTAGGTAGGTCGTCAAAACCTCGTTAGTTACATGTATGTCCAGTGGTTGTCTCTTGTTGTCGCACTACATGTCGCGCTTATTGAGTTTTCTCGCATTTGCACCTTTGTGTCATTATTGCAATTTTCGCTGTTTACTTTAGCTATCTTCTTTCTTTCTTTCTTTCTTTTTGCGCTGTTTTACCACCTTCTTACTGTATTTAATCCACTGTTCCTGTTCCTTTTCCCTTGCCTGTATTTCACCTGATGAGAAGGCTTGAAAGTATACTTGTGAAGACAAAAACTTTCAAGATGTTTGTAATGAGCCTGAAGTGTGTCCTTTTTATGAGTATTATCGCATTTTTGTCTCAGAGGAAACTGTTCTATATACTACCTCCGACAAGCGAAACTTGGCGCGTTTTTTTGATTTTTTTGTGTTGGTACCACAACTATCACTTCACAAGGCTATGATGTACGACCTACTTCATCTACTTGTAGCTCCATGCAACCGGGTGCAGGAAGCCAAGCGACGAGCTGCGCTGGTGAGTGGCACATGGCTCAGACTTAGTCAGAGGCAAGCCAGTCTCACGTGTACCAGCAAAACAGTGCGCACGTCCATTCTGCGAAGGAGAATTGTCGTGCTTTCGCGTTTCAATGGAAAACCAAGGAGTTCTCTCTCTCTCCACTTGGTCACTCCGCCAGCACAGAGTCCATACGTCCATGCCAAACAATCCTAGCGTCTTTCAATAGCCACCAGAGCGATGCGTCTCTGGTGGCTAAGGAAAATCGCCAGGAATTGCTGCAGGCAATTTTGGACAGTTGGCGAGAATACCCGGCAAAACAGTTGGAGTCCAGGCGCTTGTGGAGGTGTTGTACAGTTCTTACCACGTCGACCTGGATAGTGGCGGCGGAAACGACTACCCTCGACACCGTGGCTCGAGCACAGCACACAGGAGCGACATCGAGATTTTCAGAGCGATTACAACAGAGGTACTTGCTGCAACTGAATCCGCTCTAGTCGCACTTTCGTCTCAAAACAGGAACAATTCCTCTCCAGACGAAACTGCGATCTCTGAATCAGAGGAGAGTGATTCAGCCGAACAGATGTCTCTAATGTCCTTGTTGAGCAATTCAAAGTTGAATTTTGGTGAGTCAATCATTAGTTTTGATTGTAAAGTGTGAGTTATTTCTAGTAATTTGAAGTAAAAAACGCGCCAAGTTTCGCTTGTCGGAGGTAGTATGTATATACGCTTGCTAGTTTGTACGGGAAGTGCGTGGGTTACAGTGAGGGCTGCGTCCCACCCGCCTGTGTGGATTCACAGGAAGTGTGAGTTACGAAGTTTGAAGAAAATGTTGAACGGCCTCTGCTGGGATGATGACTACACCATAGCTCAGTGGTTAGAGCACCGCCGGCTACAAGCGAAGGTCCCTGCTTCGAGTCCTGGTGGTGACAGTCCATTTTTTCTTCAGACTTTTCCCGTTTGTTTCTTTCCCTCAAACCAGTTAATATATACTGTATTGATGTATTCATGTAATGAATTCAGTTTAGCGTAGGCGCACATCTCGCAACTACGTATCTGCTGCGCAACAGCGCCCTCTACGGTTCTGGCCGCGGCACTTGTTTAGCGCGCCTTGCCGCGACCGGCAAGACCGCCTGCTGTGCATCACATTAATTTATGCGTACGCCATCACAATAATTAATTCAGTTTTGATCGGGTCCGAGTCCGCAACGTGGCACATCTCCTTGCCAGTCTCAGTTTTGAGTCTTCTCTGCTTTGGCTCATGCCCGACTTGCATCCTGCTGCCTTTGTCTTTTCCTGACCCACCATCCCACCACTAACCATTAATACTACATTGCATCATTCCTACTTCAAGTACAATAAACCTGGTGGCGAGTCACTCATAACTGGTCTGCCTTTCTATTGCGGCATTATGGCCTTATGGTCCTGCCTTTCAATTGCGGCAATCACAGCCTCCGGGCTTCTGCCTTCCTGCGGCAATCACAGCCTCCGGGCTTCTGCCTTTCTGCGGCACTCGCAGCCTCACGGGCTCGTGCCTACCTTGCGGCAAAGACCAACCAGTTCCTCGTCACCAGTACTTACCCAACACAACCTAGCCTTATTCGTGTGGTGTATGCCTGTCTGCATGCCGTCTGTGTGCGCGGAATGCTAATGATGTATGCCTGCCTGCATGCCGTCTGCGTGTGCGGAATGCTAAATATATATAACGAAGTGCTAATTCTAACGAGTTACCAAGGAGAAATCTCATGACTTGTTATGCTTTTTCCCCTCAAGAAAATCAGTCTGAACGTCATTTTAACTGTACAGGAAGGACAGCGTCAAAATTCCAATACGTTCTAAAATTGTTTTCTTCTAATTAATTCACTCTATGACTGTACGCTGAAGACACAAATGACATCATTACCACACCTCACACCCAGCAGCCGACTGCGGGCAACTTGGAGATGGAGTAGGTCTGGCTTACTGATATCCGTGGACCTAGGGTATCGGCCGTCTGATACAGTAAAGATGATCTTGAGCCGTTGAAGCATTTTTGTGATTTCTGCAGATATTGATGAATGCAGTGACAGTAGCCATGACTGCGGTGCCAATGCCGTGTGCACAGACACGCAAGGTTCCTATACATGCCAGTGCAATGGTGGTTACACTGGAAATGGCAGGAATTGTCAGGATGTTGACGAATGTCTGAGTGAAAGTCATACCTGCCATGACAACGCCACCTGTGATAATGTGCAAGCTAGCTTCCAATGCACATGTAATTCTGGTTACTATGGAGATGGCGAAAATTGCACAGGTAAGCTGGTTACGGACTACGGTGTCCATGGCGATCAGAAGTCTCCCTATCCGGCTTTGCGCCCTACTAAGAGCGTAACAAGATGAAAGTTTGATTTGTTGACGCTCGTCTTCATTTGGTCCGTTAACACAATATCATGTCAATGGTACTTCAAAGTAGATTTTATCTTTGAACAGATGCTTGCGGACTGCTGTACATACAGTTCACCACAGACACACTCCACGACAGCTAGTAGTTGCTGATGGATACCGTCACAGTGTAAAAGCCATATGTATAGATTATAGACCTCCTAACCGGTCTATAATCTATTTATCGTGTTCTCCACGCAATAGTTTCTCTTCATATACGACATATCCTTGTAATTCTAGTATTATACTATAGCCTATACCGCACTGTACGGCATTGTAGGATCAAGGTCATTGTTTAAACTAGGTTCAGCATCTGTAGCACAGTGGCTGGGTGGTAAGGAAGAGTGACTGAGATTCACATGTTGTGGGTTCAAATCCCTTCTTGTGTATTTCTGCTTTCTTCAAAATTTCTTTTTCAAAGTTGGAGAGAAAATTTCTAAGGGCATGTTCGATTTGTAAGGATCGGGATCGGGATCCAGATCTCAGATCCCTCGGATCCTTCAGATTCAACTGAACACTTTATTTTGGACCTTGACTGTTGCCATGTTGAAAATGGCGCTCACAAATCACCCAAAAGGGGGAACGTCGTACTCATCGCGTGCGTCGTACAAAAAGTCAACAAGCTCTATCTCCACCCACGTGTGCGTACCACAATGTGTACAAAAATGATTTTTACCCGCCACATACGCACAAAGGTCACATTTGGATCCGTTGGATCCGATCAACCCTGCGCCCCGAGGAGGGTTGACCAGATCCAAATCCGAAGGATCCGGATCCGGATTCGACCAATCGAAAGGGTGCGAATCCAGTGGATCCGGTAGATCGGGATCCCAATCCTACCAATCGAACATGCCCTAAGTCCAAGAAATTCTAAGGAGTCAAATATAAGTAGTCAAATATATTATTGTGTATTTGACTAAGCAGTCAAATACGCGATATATTTGACCGCTTAGGTATCAGGGAAATTAGTGGGGTCAAATACTAAGAAGGCGATAAGTATGGGATATTGACCAAGACGAGACGAGACGAGGCCTATATTTCCCATATAGACCAAAGTCGAGGTCAAGATCCTATTTATCACGATTCCTTTGACATAACCCCAAAATTTGAACCTTTAGGAGCTATTTTAACCTTTTAGTAGAGCATTTGTACTATAGTGTACATAGGGTGTTGCCTATTTTAGGTACAAGACTGTAAGAACAACAGGGTTCAGCATCTGCAGCACAGTGGCTGGGTGGTATAAGGGGTTGCTTGAGATTCATACTGTTGTGGGTTCAAATCCTGCTTGTTTTCTTCCTTTGTCTTCTTTCTTTCAAATTTTCTTTTCGAAGTGGAGAGAAAATTTCTAAGTCCCTCCAAAGTCGAAAGATTACAATGCCTAAGTGGTCGATACAAGCGGTCGATACAAGCGGTCGATATACGGCGATATGGGTAATATAGGACCAAGAGTACATAACCCCCCAGAGTATGCAACGCCTGATCCAGCTCTGCATAGGGTCTTGGTCGAGCGGAATCGGATCTTTGCGTCATAATACCGTACACATCTGAGGGTAACCCGGGGAGTCGCGGGTACTCTCGGATCAAAAACAATGGTGCTCTGCCTCAAGACCGGCCTTGCGCTGGTGTGGAGTGTACGCATGACACCAGAAGATCCGATTCCGCTCGACCAAGACCCTATGCAGAGCTGGGTCGGCGTTGCACACTCTGGGGGGTTATGTACTCTTGATAGGACCAGTCAAGGATCACGAGAATTGGTGGAGGTCGATATAGAAGAGTGATAAATATATATATAACGAAGTGTTAATTCTAACGAGTTACCAAGGAGAAATCTCATGACTTGTGGTTTTTCCCCTCAAGAAAACCAAAACCAGTCTGAACGGCATCTTAACTGTACAGGAAGGACAGCGTCAAAATTCCAATACGTTCTAAACATGTTTTCTTCTAATGACTTCACTCTATGACTGTACGCTGAAGACACAAATGACGTCAATACCACACCTCACACCCAGCAGCCGACTGCGGGCAAGGTGGAGATGGAGTAGGTCAGGCTTACTGATAACCGTGGACCTAGGGTGTCGGCCGTCTGATACAGTAAAGATGATCTTGAGCCTTTGAAGCATTTTTGTGATTTCTGCAGATATTGATGAATGCAGTGACAGTAGCCATGACTGCAGTGCCAATGCCGTATGCACAGACACACAAGGTTCCTATACATGCCAGTGCAATGGTGGTTACACTGGAAATGGCAGGAATTGTCAGGATGTTGACGAATGTCTGAGTGAAAGTCATACCTGCAATGGCAACGCCACCTGTAATAATGTGGAAGCTAGCTTCCAATGCACATGTAATTCTGGTTACTATGGTGATGGCAAATATTGTACAGGTAAGCTGGTTACGGACTACGGTGTCCATGGCGATCAGAAGTCTTCCTATCCGGCTTTGCGCCCTACTAAGAGCGTAACAAGATGAAAGTTTGATTTGTTGACGCTCGTCTTCATTTCGTCCGTCAACGCATGTTGATGGTAGATTTTATCTTTGAACAGATGCTGACACACATATACACAATGGACGGATGTCACAAAAGTGTTCTACTAATTATGCACTACAGTTCTGACGTTCCTGTACTCTTTTTAAAGTAGTTCTGCATCCCTCAAGATGGCATAGACATTGCCAACGGCAGGCCAAATACCCCTTCACCAAAAAAGTTGGCACAAAAACTAAGAGTTGCAAGGAACATTGTTGTATAATGATGTGTTGTTTTCCTGTGTGATGGCATTCCCCAAACTGTCTCGTCTAGTCGCGTGCATGTGTTATATGAGCATGCGCGGTGGTGGTGGCGGTGCTGGTGGTGGTGGTGCTGGTGGTGGTGGTGGTGGTGGTGGTGGTGGTGGTGGTGGTGGTGGTGGTGGTGGTGGTGGTGGCGGTTTTATACAAAGAACTTTATTGAAAATCCATGATAATGTGATCGGAAAGATGATTTGAAAATCTAAAGTCAACACATGCAAGCATTAGCAGTCACTTCTATCAAAGCCGATCAATATTTCGCCAGAGCGCAACTTGGAAAGCCGGCTAAAAGTCCAGACCATCCATACTTGTAATGTAGGTTGATATTAACCGGAAGGTGCATCTACAAAGACCGTAGACGGCATTCATCCAGAAATGACAAAGCCCCTATCGCCTACGCAAATACGAGGCCCGGAAAACGCGGAAGCAGGTGACGAACCACCTGGCCAAAACGAAAGAGATCTTGGGTAATGATTCATGACCAATGAAAACTTTAAGCCAGAATGATGCATGACAATCAAGCCAACCAAATTCTTTAAAACGTGCAGACAGGCCTTCACGCTCACAGAGGCCATTGGTACTGAAGACCAAAGGTGTGAATGCACCACTCTCAATTGATTTTTGGTTGAAGGAAAGCAAATCAGCACACGCAACACAGAAGCCATATAATTTTTTCGACTAGGCCTTTCATTCCATTACTCTTCAGGTCGAATGCAATGGTGATTAACAAGGTAGTAAGCAAGACTTGCTTACTAACTTGTTACTCACCATTGTATTCGACCTGAAGAGTAATGGAATGAAAGTCCTAGTCGAAAAAATGATATGGCTTCTGTGCTGCGTGTGCTGACCTCTCTCAATATTCACCACACGCTGCAAATATAGGCTCTCTTCTTCTGGCTTTCATTCCCCGACATCTGCGCAAGAAGTTTCCCCCTCGATAACACGGATGCTGATGGGTGAGATGTTAATGACGGCAGAGTTAGTTCTATTTAAGGGCCGTCCGTAAATACATGTATTTACTTAGAGACGACTAAGAGGCGTTTCTTTCTTCCCCCCCCCCCCACCCATCCCCAGAAACGCCCCCCCCCCCCCAAAATGCAGATAATACCACTCGTAATAAACACTATACTATGCACACATATACAGTACAGACGACTGCACTTATAACGAACTCGCATAATTATAGCGAATTTCGTGATATTTAGCGAACCCATGTCCATGTCCCTGTTTGAACCTATACAAAATTGACCCTTTGTAGTGAACAGTCTCCCTGTCTCCGGACTGCGGAGCTCCCTAGGCCCTAGCCACTCTGCTGTGACCCGTGCAGTGCATGCAGTGCAGTGTAGACTGTAGTGTGTCTCAACGCCTGCCTGTACTAGCTGTAGCAGTGCTACATCAGTGTAACATCATATACACACAGTGTAACACCATGTACAGAAACGCACGGTATGGTATGCATGCACTCCGAAATGTGTTTTTTAGAAACGCCTTGCAGGCGAACCCACCCACCAGAAACGCAGGTTAGACGTCTCTAAGTAAATACACGTAATTACGGATGGCCCCTTACTGCTGTATTAATTAAACAGTCAAAAATTAAAGGGAAGTGAAGGTAAAGGTGGATTTTAAAAGCAGTGGATGATTGTTCGTCCAATTTTCTGATCAGCTTTTCAATCCACTTTAGTACTATGCAAACATTGTGGACGCATGCGCGCAGTGGTGCAACCCGCGCAGTTCGTTCGCCGTCCGTACCGTGTGTAGTAAGTAGTGCACGCAGCGGCAAGCCGCACGCGCAGCACAATGTTAAAAGGGACCGTGGTAGAGTTCAAAAGGACGACATGCCTAACAGTTTAAAGTGCAGTGCGCTCGGAGCTCAACTTTCTTTAGCCTACTGGAGCAAGCTGATCTGATTCGGGGTGAACGTGCGGAGAGAAGCGGAGAGAGTTTCTAGTGCGCATGTCTTGAGATTGAACAAGCATAACTTGAGAAATGTTTGCCGAGTGGAAAGTTCAAAGTGCTTGCGGTGTGCGTCAGCCACCACTCACCAATCCAATGTCAGTCTTAAAGAATGTTTTGTTTTGTTTGTTTGATTTGTGTCGCATCAGTCCAGAACGAATAGATACTCATCGGAAATCAAAGACGCTGCGGCGGAATTGAGAAGGTTCTATCCAGATATTGAAGATTCTCTCCGGCAATTCATCATTATTGTGCATGCATTTAGTGTTTGGTTTAGAAGCATTGACTGCACCGATGCAGACCTGTGATCTTCTAGCATACCTTATGACTCAGTGATCACAATGTGGATCGAAGATCAGATTTCATTATATACGATACAATGCCTATTTTTTGTATTTTCTATTGTCTAGGGACTCCCTGGAAGCCTTTAGGCTACCGGCACAGGGGTTCAATAATGCATATACCAAGTACCAAGGTTAAGTCTAGCTCAGGTCTGTGAGGTTTTCCAAGAGGCTTCGCTGGAGAACTTTTCAAATTGTATCTACTTTCATGGTCGTACATACGTTTGTAAAATTCTCTGAAAGTTGCTGGGCTGGTGCTCGTTGATTCGTCTGCCTGCGATGTCTTCAACATTGACAGCAGTGTGTGTATCTTCGCGCGCACGTGTGTGTGTGCGTGTGTGGGGGGGCCGGGGGGGGGCGTATGTGTGTGGGCGTGACGGTGTGTATGTGTGTGTGTGCGAAAAATGAAAAAAATGAAAAAAATGAAGAATGAAAATAGGGATTCACTGGCCAGAAAAAAGTCACTTCAATCAGCTGTGCGGCGGATACCCGGCTAAAATTAGTGGCAGTCAATTCATCAGCCTTGCAAGCTGTTGATTGGTTTAATGTAACGAACACCATTGTGTAGGAGAATTAGTTCTTTATAGCCGAAGTTCGTTATAACAGAAATGCACTCACATCATGCCAGCAGCAAGCCACGACTGGAAAGACTTAAGTGGTCCATGACAGTATGAATGCACTTGGGTTGCATGCGACCCTACAGGATTTGGCACAGTGGGTTGGTAAAAGACCATGATTGAGATACGAGAGTTACCTGGTTCAAGTCCTGCCTGGGAGCGGTTTTTCAAGCCATGCTGCAACCCTCAGTCAACTGGGAACTTGTGGCCAGGCACAAGGGGTACATGGATTCAGCTAATGGGGTTTCTCGGCACTTGTGCCATTGGTTGTGAGACTTATCCACTCACCCCCACCGCTAGGCGCTGCATCTGCCGCTAGGGTTTACCGGGTGTTATCGGCTGTCGTGAGTTACCTTCGGGAACGGATACGATAATTTACTTCTTTTTTTTACTTTTACTACAGGATTTGGTTCGTTATAAACCAAAACTGTTCGCTATAAAGGGTCAATTTTGCCTGTCCCTCCAGGAACTTGCGATTCCGCGGCCGCGTTGTTTTCCGCGATTTGAACAAAAGTCCGTGATATCCGCGATATTTGAAAAATCATCCGCGATTCTTGTAGAAAACTGTCCTTGATACTTGAAAAGCACCGCGATATTTCGAAAAACAACCGCGATATTCGAGTCTTTCTTCGATGTTGTTTAGTTCTTGAAGCTCGTCAGTAGTTTACTTGTGAGATCGACGCCAGAATGGAGAAGTTTCTGGGCAAATCAGCGGCTGACAAGTCACAAAATAAGGCTCGCGTCGAGTGTTGTCCGAGGATGGAGGAAAGCTGTCTTGCAAGCTCCTGTCAGGCAGTTGAACACAGGGAGTCGTAAAATACCGGTATTTTACGACTCCCTGGTTGAACACAGTCAGCGCAGCACACGCTCTGTTTTGTCATGCATGATTTATGCTGCATGACTCGTACATCGTACACCACTACAGTACAAGTACCAAAATCGGCCGCAATTTCCGCAATTTTACCACAATAATCCCGCAATATTCCCCGCAATTTGTGGCATTTTACCTCGCAACTTTTTCCGCGATATTTCCGAAATGTCTCCGCAAGTTTCTGGAGGGACAGAAATTGTGCATGGGTTCAAACAGGGTCAGTGGACAATGGTTCGCTATAATGAACTCGCATATAGTGAACTTCGTGATATTATAACGAAATTCACTATATGCGAGTTCGTTATAACCGAAAACTGTTCGCTATAAAGGTTGCATGGGTTCAAACAGGGACATGGACAATGGTTCGCTATATCACGAAATTCACTATGCGAGTTCTTTATGAGTGGAGTCGACTGTATCACAACTGTATGACGAACAGAAAGATGAGAAACCATCGATGTGACTACAAAGAGAAGTACTACATGCCCAAGATGTACAGCTGTAGCCCTTTCCCAAAGATGGCGCGCTTTGTCTGTGTAGACGCCGAGACCTTTGAGGTCGGCAGAGCAGCATGGCCCCCGTCACCACTTCTCGCCCATATTTCGGGAATATAGTGGACTTTCGTATAAAAAAAGAAAAAAAGATGCCATAACTTTTCGCAATTTATGCTTCTCGAAACCGTGTGAAACCAATTTTTTTTACGAGAAACCACGAACCTCAAGAACAGACTACTGCATGATAGAGGTGGTTGCAGACGCAACTGTGGTGGTGAAACTGGAGCATCTCCGCCGACCTGAGGTCTCGGCTGCAGAGACACTTCAGTGCACCAAAAAGTGGGGAGGAGTACTGTAGGCACAGGGGGAGTACATTTCTATAGAGGGTGGAAAATGGACAGATGATACAATCATGTGATGGAGTAAAAAAAGGGGGAGCCAGGGTGCAAGTGGAGAGGGTGTTTTCGGAGGGTTCAGAGGGCATCTCTGGCTGAATGCCAGTCTCGACTGCGGAGAGACTTGTCGGCGACAATGCTACAGTAGTTGCTTAAATCGAAATCGGATCCAAATTTTCAGAAAAAAGCTCGATCGCAACTAACTTAGAATTCACTCAGAATTAGCAACAAACTCTTGGCCCACATTCACAACGCCACTCCATAAGGACCATAGCGAGGAAGTTCGTTCTTGCGTGTGTTCCAGCAGCAGCACTGTGCGTTGCGTTATCACCTTTAGAACTTTGTTGTTACCTTCAACTTCTTTGGGAATGCCACTTTTCTATGTAGAAAGTGCGCACTTGCACCACTTTACCCTATAAACATATTCATTCCTTTATCTGCTATTCATTCGTTATCTACCTCCACTGAGGAGCTGCTAATAAGCGAAACAGCTGTTTGGAGGATATGGAACATCTATCCAAGAACGAACTTCCTCGCCATGGAGTGGCGTTGTGAATGTGGGCCAAGAGCGCAGTGCAGGGAGAGCTGGACGGTAAGATTAAATTGAAATTAAAGAGTTCTGGTGCAAAAACCACCAAAAAAGGAGCAGAAATGGCGGAAATGCAGCGACAGCAGAGTCGTCCACCCCTTCCTCCTGTGAACCACCACTTTACACAATGCCAGTAGCCTGTTGCATGTATCCTACATCATTCCAGTGCACGGAAAAGGGAACGCACATGATCGTAACTGCGGTTGAAAATACCTGCTGTGGCTACCGGCCGGGCTGCATGCTGTGACGTCATCACCTGGATCAGGGTGACTGCATGCTCAAATTCGCACATGTTCCATTGGGCGTATCTGATGAACCACAGGCTCCACATCGGCCTGCGTGGACAAAGACCATTCGACTCAGCGCTGCAAACTCCACGGACGCTGAAATCTAACTTTTTCACAGGACTTTGTTTAATATTGACGACGGAGAGGAGCGCAGTTCTAGGAATAGCCCGGTATAAACCTTTGTATGGTTCTCACGGCATTTCAAGAACATTATCATTTGGCCGCCATGGCCTAATCTGCATAAGCCTGAGTCAAGAGAACTTAGAAGGGTTGTTTGCGCTGTACTGCTGCTGCTGCTGCTGTTTTTGTTACTGATGCTGCTGTTGATGCTGCTGCTGCTGTTGTTGTTGCTGCTGCTGTTGATGCTGCTGTTGATGCTGTTGCTGCTGCTGCTGCTGTTGTTGTTACTGCTGCTGCTGTTGATGCTGCTGCTGCTGTTGTTGTTACTGCTGCTGTTGTTGCTGCTGTTGATGCTGTTGCTGCTGCTGCTGTTGTTGTTGTTACTGCTGCTGCTGTTGATGCTGTTGCTGCTGCTGCTGCTGCTGTTGTTGTTACTGCTGCTGCTGTTGATGCTACTGCTGCTGCTGCTGCTGCTGCTGCTGCTGTTGTTACTGCTGCTGCTGCTGTTGATGCTGTTGTTGATGCTGCTGATGATGATGCTGCTGCTGTTGATGCTGTTGTTGATGCTGATGTTGATGTTGCTGTTGTTGTTACTCTGCTGCTGCTGTTGCTGCTGCTGTTGTTACTGTTGCTGCTGCTGCTGCTGCTGTTGTTGATGCTGCTGCTGCTGCTGCTGCTGCTGATGATGATGCTGCTGTTGTTACTGCTGTTGATGCTGCTGCTGCTGTTGCTGCTGCTGTTGTTACTGCTGCTGCTGCTGCTGCTGTTGTTGATGCTGCTGCTGCTGCTGCTGATGCTGCTGCTGATGCTGCTGCTGTTGTTACTGCTGTTGATGCTGCTGCTGCTGATGCTGCTGTTGCTGCTGCTGTTACTGCTGCTGTTGCTGCTGCTGTTACTGCTGCTGTTGCTGCTGCTGTTACTGCTGCTGTTACTGCTGCTGTTGCTGCTGCTGTTACTGCTGCTGTTGCTGCTGCTGTTACTGCTGCTGTTGCTGCTGCTGTTACTGCTGCTGTTGCTGCTGCTGTTACTGCTGCTGTTGCTGCTGCTGTTACTGCTGCTGTTGATGCTGTTGTTACTCTGCTGCTGTTGATGCTGCTGTTGTTACTGTTGCTGCTGTTGCTGCTGTTGTTACTGTTGCTGCTGTTGATGCTGCTGCTGTTGTTGATGCTGCTGCTGCTGCTGTTGATGCTGTTGCTGTTCATGGTCTTACTGTGCAGGCTTTTTTAATTTTTTTAACCAAGTCCACTACATGTATGCTCCCGAATGAATGCGGAAAGTGGTGGCGGGGCCCTGCTGCTCAGCCGACCTTGGTGGTCTCGGCGTCTGCACAGAGGGCTGTATGGGCTATTTCTGCTTTTGATGCGCATGCATGCTGCTGCTGCTGCTGCTGCTGGTGGTGGTGCTGACGATGCTCATGCATAACGAACATCTGACATAGGAAACTACTGTCTACTCTTAGGACAAGGTTTTCAATCTTTTTTTAACCTTTTGAGCACGACGCTACCTGAATGCCGCCCCACGTCAACACCTGCAAAAATTGCGTTTTTCCTATGAAAGTAGTAGCTGTTCAAGGATCGATAACTTTACCTTTCTTTGGACGAATTCCACGATCTTGAGCTTCCTGCAAAGGTGTTGAGGCGAGGAACAAAATAGGTCCAAGCTCAGCTCGGAGCGACAAATTAACAATTCCAAATACGG